GGGGGTGGAGTCATACTTGCAATAACAGCGTTGTAGGAGGAGAACAACTGGACACGAAGGCACAAAAATGGCTTCTGTTACTCCTCTCTCAAACCAACGTTCCTCTCTATCAAGAATGAGAACATCCTCATCTCTGAAAGAGTGACCGCTGGCCTGTAAATGAGTGAAAACTGCAGAGTTCTGCCATTAGAGGTAGCTCGTCTGTGTTGGGACACAAGAACAAAAAACATGCAAAAAATTAAAATAAAATTAAAGGCAGCAGAAAAAGAAGAAATCTCAGTCTTAAAAATAAATCTAATGCAGTATATGAAATAGCCATCCTCATTTACCTTGAACCTCCTCCACCCATGCTGGTAAAAAAAACAGGCCTGCCGACTGGTTAGTAAGTGATGATTTTTGGGAAGGAAGGTCAAACAGGTGCTTTAGTGATTTCATATGGACATRTGTAGCTTTTAATAGTTAAACAGTGGTTTCTGTTTGATTACCAGAGMTAAAACAATGGAGTTTGGATGGGTGGGACGACATCTGTCTTCACTGTTTTGCAAAAAAGTGAAGAAAATATGTCAATCCAATAAGAAAGGGTTAACACATTGCCAAGAGGTGGCTTTTGCCAATAAAACTCTAAACCAAAAGTGTGACCACAGACAAGCCAAAAAATACTAATATTGCAATTTAATATAAAAAATTTATATACCTAATGTTAAGACTTGGTAAATGAGTTTTACTGATTTGCCACACACCAGAGTAGTTTTAAGGATTTTATTTAAAAACAGGCAGCTGGTTCTGGATCCAAGGGTCACGGGTATCAGGAGCTCTACACAACAGAGAATAAGGTTAGTGGCTGAAACAGACTGGGAACCAGACGAAGTACAAAGTTATGCCACTAACCTTCTCAAAGTATGGGGATTCCAAGAAGAGTGCTTGAGTGACGTAGCAAGATGGGGAAGATGTCCGATGGATTTGCAAACACTTTCGTGTTGTGGACAATGGCCGTGTTTGTTTACCACAGGGAACTCTGTTAAACAAGCGAGGTTCATACACCTGAAGATGAAAGGCAGACTTTGGTTAAAAGGAGCAGACTTCTCTTGGTTGAGGTATGAAGGCTGAGGTCTGGAACCGGGAGGCAGATGGCTGGACGAGTCCGWCAAGGGCGAGAGCAGAAGGCAAAGATCCGGTGGAGGAGACAAGGGTCAGAACCAGGAGGTCAGAGTCCGATTAGGTACCAAGGAGAGGTGAGGCAGGAGACAAACAACCAAAAACCAAAGGAGAGTTGAGGCCAGGCASACCAGACATGACATGAGAACACCAGACATTTACTTGGATAACCGTTCAATAATCAGGTGCTGGGGCAGTGGTGGAGGAGAGCCTGCTGGAGAAAACAGGTGAGTGACATGATGCTGACTGGGATTTCTGTGACAGGAGAGGTGAAACAATGAGCAAGGTAAATGAGGTGACATGACATGGAGAAAGAGRTCAGGTGAGATTCATGACACCTATTATCAATTTTGAAGACTATTTTCACGATCAATCAAAGATTCCATTCTMATACTCAGGAGGTTTGATTTTAGTCAAGTCAAAGTTTGTTTATATAGTATATTTACAACAACCTCAGTTGACCCAATCACATCACATTTAGCTGAAGATAATTACAATAAAACTAAAATTTCCACTTCACCTAAGAAAATACTATTAAAYGTGYAGTGCCTTTAAAAGTCAGTTAYAAACAACCCCGATAAATTTCTTCACCTGAATTGTTTTCCTTATTTAGGTTCAGAACCATTGCTCTCAACCATGCCTGTACATCCCTAAGACAATTCTGTAGCCTATATTCAACAGACTGGCCATCATTTGTAGTTTCAGGTAGATAGATTTGAATGTCATCTGCAAAATAATGAAAAGAGACTTTTTGCTTTTTAAAAATTAAACCCTAAGGCAGCAAATACAAGGCAAAAAGGACAGGTGCTAATATCGAYCCCTGAGGCACACCATACTTCAGAGGAGACACAGAGGAGGAATGCTGTCCTACATTTACAGAGAAACTCCTATTTGAGAGGATTGAAACAAATTTAGTGGTGTACCTTGAATGTCAACAAGTGATTCCAGATGATTCMAAAGGATGCTGTGGCCCACAGTACCAAAAGCAGAGGACCGATCTAATAGTAAAAGAACTGCTGATTTTACGCTGTAAGCTGAACATTGAACATATATAAGTGAAGGCTGAAATTGCACAACACTCAGATAAGTACTGATCAATCACACACTTCTGAAATGTCAGTCAATTTCCTGTCATACATCCTTTCAAACATTAGATTGATGATGTCATTGGTTGGTGATAATCTGTTGATTCAAATGCCGATTAGCTGAAATCTGCTCATCACTGTCTCCAGGCCTGGCAGTGTGGTAGTGACCTTTGACCTCTGGTTCAACCAAATGATTGACACAAAGGAAGTGGAGAAACAGCTGGAAACTGGACTTCAGATAGTGGGAGGGACATTAGTGATTGACACAAACAGCATCAAGATCACAAGTGAGTGTGCATATCTATATATTTGTTGCAATCCCTGCAGAACTGAAAACCTGGTCCACTGTTCAAGGACTTTGGTGAAAGCCATACTGCTAATTCTGAATCTGAGATTCAGCAGTCAATCAAAGCTTGTCTTCCAACACCGTGGAGTCTAAGTATGGTTTCCAACAGTTGGAACAAATTTTCTAGTCCACAGTTTAAAAATAGGGATCAGCACCTCAATCTGCCACTTCACAGGTGTTGTTCCAATCTTCCATACAACAGTGAAAAGATGTGTTAATAATGCGAATCACACAATGTCCAGAAAGTTCAGTAGGCTCTCAGATTGAATCTTGTTGAATTCTGGTGTCCAGTTAAACTTGAGCCTTTTARTGCCCTTGATGACCTCTGCCATAGTAAAACATTTGTCTTCCCCAGAGCTCCAAAACACTGCCTCCTCAAAGACGGGGCATAAAATTTTCAATATTCCCATTCTGGGTCAGCAATTTGCAATTCTGTTCAGTTCAGTTCAGTTTATTTAAATAGTGCCAAGACACAACAAATGTCATCTTATGACAATTTTGCAATTTCAGCTTAGACAAGTCCAACAACTGTTTGTGCTTCTGCAGAGAAACCTGAGCAGACGACACCAGTAGCAGCTAGTGTTACACCTACAACAGGTGAGTCACCTTCAGGTGCTTCCTCCACCTGTTCAGTCACTTCCATTTCCAATAGCTCTGTTTTCTTTGCAGCAACATGTCCGCCTGAGCAGATGTCCTGTGCTGATGGTTCTATGTGTGTTCTGATTGATCAGTTCTGTGACGGAGTTGACGAATGCTCCGATGGCTCTGATGAAGCTGCTGCTCAATGTGGTTAGTGAAGGTTGTTAACAATAATAATACATTTTACAATTAAAACACAGTAAATAATGCAGTAAAACACAAAAAGGAAAAAAAACTACATAAGAAAATAACAATAAAAACATCATATACAACATAACGTTAAAAAGAGTTAATGAGAGATGGAGGTTACACTGAATATGTCTGAAAGAAAAGAAGAGTTTTTATCTGTGATTTAAAAATGGAGATGGTGGAAGAGTTCCAAACAAACAATTATTTTCTAATCAAATGATTGTTAATCAAATTCAAAGTCCAAGTGAAAATAACTATGTGATGTTCTTATAAGTTAAATAAATCTGTTAGCATCAACCAGCAGAACTTTTCAGCCCAGGTGCTTCACACATTTTTATATGACTTCCTGTCTCTGGTTTCCATAGCTACAGGTTGTGATGGGCAGTTTTTGTTGGGAGGACCAAACGGATCATTCAGTTCATCACAGTCTGAGACGTACAACAACAGCATGTTCTGTCGCTGGATCATCAGGTGGGAGCTGAACACACAAGTGTGAAGCATTTCAACACARTTTCCCACAGTTAGACACTGTGGTAACATTGCATCATCACATTTTCTTTTTTATTTATTTAACCTTTATTTAATCATGCAGAACATTAAGAACAAATTATTATTTACAATGCTGGCCTGACATCACTTCACTTCACAACTAAAAACAGTWTACTGGTGAAGAAAGAAAAGAGATGACACTTGTTCTTCCTTATATTACACCTGTAAAAAGCACCATGTTTTCAGGGTCAGTGACAGACTCTGGGTTGAGCTGAACTTCCATCACTTTGAGACTGAGGAAACAACAGACACTCTGAAACTTTATGAAGGAGTTGGATCAAACAAACGACTCACAGGTAAATTAATCATTTCATCACTTTTTACAAAGTTCTGCTGAACTACATCAGGACAAAGTAACTTAAAGTTGACTCAGTTTTTTCATGACTTCACTTTTGATCTGACTAAAACCAAGATGTGGAGAATCAGAACACAGCTCTGATTGCTGCAGGTGACTTTTTATCCGTCCTTTTTTTGATTGGCAGCTGAGATCTCAGGCTCCATCCCTCCTGGGACTGTGTGGCTGATGAGCGATCAATCAACTGTGGAGTTCACTTCAGATGATTTTAACAGTCTTTCTGGGTTCAAAGCCTCATACAGCAGTGCCAACAAATCTGCTCTGTCTGGTAAGACTTCCAGTCTTGGTGTAAGAAGAGCCATGTGAACATTTCCTGACATCTAAAGATGTCCTCGTCTGGCTTCAGTCCAGGAGAAGCTCAGCTGCAGCTTTGAACCTGGCCTGTGTTTCTGGCGGCAGCAGCAAGATGATGATGGTGACTGGGTCAGAACCAGTCGGGCTACCTTTCCTCCTTTTACAGGACCGAGTTCAGATCACACCCTGGGGAACAGCTCAGGTGAGTCAGAACCAGAAGTCCTCAGTTGTCAGTTAAAGGACTGCCTTATGTTTGATGAGTCTTAATTGTCACGTCCTGTAGGTGGCAGTGTCTACATCTTTACCCACTTGTTGGTCAGGGTTAGCTGGTGTTTGAATTAAAGCTGTCCCTAAAGTGGCAATAAAGGAAAATTTTGTAATAAAACTCACAATGATGGATTTGTATTGATGACTTTGTATTAATCTGTATTATTGTCTTACAGGCTTCTACATTGTCACTCCTATGAGTCCTGGCCAATGGCAGAAGAGCTTTAGAATTTACAGCCTCCCTCTGACTCTGTTACAACCAATGTGTTTAAGCTTCTGGTAAACATGCAAACAAACAAAACCAGTGCAAACTCTTAGGCAGGATACTCATTTAACAACTGATTGTCATGAGTGGCCTGGTTAGGTAAGAACCTCAGGTGCAAGACTGAGTGAGGTGGAAAAATATTTAATAAAATGAAAACAAGAGGCTGACGTGGCAGCAAACTAAATACAAAACCTTGACTTTGGCTTGAAACAAGAACTTGAACATCTAACAGAACACATAAATAGTTAACAAGGATCTGACAAACTCTTCTTCTTCTTCTTCTTCTTCTTCTGTTTAATGGCGGTTGGCAAACAACTTTTAGGTGCATTACTGCCACCTTCCAGACTGGAGTATGGATCAGATGCCTACAAAACTGACAAACACTTAAGACACTGAACAGAATATAAAGTGAAACTAATGACTAGAAACAAGATACACCTGGGGACGAAACATGAGGATCAGGTGTGAGTGGGCGGGGCTAGAGCACAGGCAGACAGGAGGAAGAGAACAGATGACGAGACAGAAAACTAGAGTAAAACATTAACATAGACACAATCATAACACTGATCATGTGTTACAAGACTAATAGACCCCAACAAACAATTCAATAAGAAATAAATACACTTCTGTAAAAGATTAAAAATAAATAAATCTGTACAATGTAAACATGTTTGCAGGTATCACATGTTTGGTGAAGATGTTCATCGTCTCAAAGTCCTGCTCAGTCCATCTTTGTCGCAGACTAGTGCCAATGTTACTGTGGTGTTCCAGAAAGACGGGAACTTTGGTGACACCTGGAACTATGGCCAGGTGACCCTCAACCTGACCACAGAGGCCACAGTCAGTGACATCACACAGGAAGTTGTTAGCTGAGGCAGTGTGGTTGATCAACTCACTGATTACATGGCCTCTGCAGGTGATCTTTGAAGCTCTGAAAAAAGGAGGTACAAAAAATGACATCGCTCTGGATGACATCACACTGACTTCTGATGCCTGTGGTGCCGGTCCACCTGAGCCAACCAACGTCCCTCCTCCAATCACACTGCCCCCCATACCAGGTGAGAAAAGGCTAATTTATTTGTGTAGCGTATTTCACACCAGAAGGCAACTCAAAGTGCTTTAGAGAATAAATGCATGTTAATATGAACAAGGACACACACACACCCACACACACACACACAGAAAAACACACACAGACACACACACACACACACCAAGATAAAATATTAAAGCATTTAAAAGCGATTATTAAACGGGCAATATAATGAAAACCGACATTTTGAGTTTTATATCATGTTACAATGTTCTCCATGCCCAGAGTCGTACTTTGACTCATTCATGCATGTTTGAGAAATCCTGTAGTGTCCTGAGGCAACCAAGTAGGGCAGCTAGAACCACCTTTGGGCCTGGTTCCTCCTCCGGGCTGTGTCTCTGAACCGGGCTTCCTCATCACAGAGGACACCTCCCCACCCCCTGGCCCATCCCATGACTCCTGCAAGCAGCAGGCTATCAGCAGCAACAATTAGCAAACACCAGGTGAAACCATGTCTGCTGAGCTCCAACACTAACCACTTCTCCCTCCAGTCCTGTTCGGATCAAAAATGYCTTTTAGGAAATGGACTTTTGGATGCCAACGAAACGACCCTGTTTTAAAGCTTCACAAGGATGACACGGTTCTTAAAAAATGGTTGGATTTCATTTTTGGAAGTAACTCTCTGATGAAAAAAGTTATATAAGTTCAAGCCACTTTATGGATGATAGCTGAACAAAAGGGAATTTAACAGTGGACTAATAACAAGATTATCACTAAAAGGTGATGCAATTCCAAGACTCAGAAGGACTCAAAACACCATTGTCACCTGTCCAGGTAAGCTGAAAAACAAGTCATGTTGTTTTGTTTGGTCTATGTGTGCTCTACAATTAGCATTTGTAACTTCTTATGTTCAGTACACGTGTATGTGTAAGGATGACTGAAATAATCTCACCAGCTGAAACATCCTCTCTGCARTCACTCTGGTTCTTCAGAAAACATCATTTCTGGTCCAAATGAAAGGTTCATTTGTWTCCWGAGATGCAATTTTACAAAACCAATATTGTATAACCTTGCTGCTTTTTTATTATCATTACAACAAAGTGTGCTACGATGCTCCAGGTTGTAAAAAGCAGAGAAGCAGCTGTGATGATGTGCAGAAATGGGCGGGACAGAAGCTGAAGGTGGTTCTTAAAGAGACAGAGGCCAATTTCAAGGTGTTTGGAAACTGATATGATGAGAAGTCAAGTTTGTTTTCTATTTTAACATATAAACAACATTTTAACAACTGAAGGTGACGTATTTCCTTTATTATGGTATAGAATTTAAATACATGCCTGAGAAACACAATATTGCCCTTTTAAAGCAGTACAAACAGTTTTAGGAGCAATTAGTTAAAAGCAATATTAAAAAAGAAAGTTTAAYTTAGATTTAAATGAGGTCAGATCAGACTGAAGTCTGAGACCCTCAAGCAGTTTATTCCACATGTGAGAGTTGTATGAGTCTAATTTCTTAAAAGGTGGAAAGGTTATTGATCAACAAAGCTGACATGGTTTCCCGACAGGTAAAAATAGTGTGTCAGAGTGCAGAAACAGTATCACCCTTCTGTTTCTCCCCTCATTCTTGCTACATGTAAGTCATGTATGTTTTTACAAAGGGCCTGTGGTCAAACTCTAACCATGCTGCCTAAGCAGGTGAATGAAGTGCTCTAACACCACTAATGTGTTCCTCTGGTACAGGATTTTTGTGTTGTTTTTGTTGTGTACTCCTGTCTTGTTAATATTTGTTGTGTAGTCTACATTGTAGGCTTGTCTTTTGTAGTCCCTGTTGTCCAGTCTTGTTATCTTGTTGTGTAGTGTGTGCTGTGTTATTTTTGATCAAATCTCTGTACCTGACTAGAGCCATTAGCACACGTGTGATGTTGATCCTAGTTAATCCTGACCCTCTTTCTCCTAATTTGTGCAGCTGACTGTGGAGGACCTTTTGACCTCTGGGAACCAAACTCTTCCTTCAGCTCTCCAAACTACCCTCACTACTATGGAAATTTGGCTGAGTGTGAGTAAGCCTGTCTTGGATCTTTATGTCATGAGGCGGCTGTGGTGGAGTGCTGATGGGAGTCATGCTGTGACCAGTTAGGGTTAGGTTAGGACATTTTTAACCTCATCTGTGCCGACTATTAACTCTGTGCTAATATAGAGCTGTGATTTTGAATGATCTGTCTGTGAATTAGAGCTTTGTTTAAGGTCTTGGAGTTACAGTAAGATACATAGTTCACCATTTGTTTGCCTTTATACATTTTGCCCAGGTTCCTCTTGCAAATTAGATCCCAATCTCATTGGGGTTTTACCAGGTTAAATGAAGGAAATGAATAATTAAAATTAATTCACAGGACAAGCCTCATTTAACTCAGTTAATCTGCTGTATTAATACTAAAAATTAAATTAGAAATCATATTCACAAAGCGGTGTCCTTTCTGATCCATTTTACCTACAGTTAAAGTAAAAAGACTTGGTGCCTTGGTGGTTGGTGCAGGTAGTGTTTCTCTCATTCACTGTTAGACCAGATGTTTTTGACACAAGACAAAATCTGCAARGAGGGAGAGAAAAAAGACAAGTAGGCCTAACATCTATCTTTTAATCAAAAATRKGCCACAAATTATAACATTCWTGTTGATATTGATTCAGGAATTTAATGTCTGCCCCACCAATATTTATGCTCATGAGTCACTATTAGAGAGACCTTTATGGTCATCGTACAGAGAGCACAATGAAATTATTGTAAACCGCGGTCAAAAGCTGCACCTCCACTTTCCTCAGGGGTGGACTAGTCTACCGGGGATTTCCCCAGTTGGCCAAACATGTTCTTTCTGGCACCCCAGTCAGCTGATCTGCTCACACAGCTGTGGAGTGGRCAGGGTGATGGAAAACAATCATCTCTGTGGTGCTTACTAACCCTCAGCCTTCACAAATCAGAACCGTCTTGTCCCTACTAGAACCACAAACAAAYCTCTGTTTGTCTCTGGCATCGAAGGGAGAAATGTGATGCTGTGACTCAAGCTGTCATTCCTCTGTGGAACATAGCCTGTCAATCACCAGGGGTGCCACGAGTGAGAGTGGCCAGGAGGGGCAACGCCCCCACCCTTAAATAGTGGCCCTACCACTTTTATCCTCTTGGGTTCCAAGTTTTTGTTTTATGCTCATTTTCATTTTGGGGGGAGATAAAAGAATTAATGTGAATTTGAATACATATTTTATTTAAGATTAAAAAATGAATCTTAAAATCTAAGCCCATTGGGGTTGGGCAAAATCATATTGTGTCCAATTAACCATCAGAAAAACTTTCATCAATGTTAGTTCATGCTCATGACCTTCCGTCCGCAGGACATAAGGGTTTTAAAGCTACTTTCAGAGCGTTAAAGCAAATTGCCTACTGGCCAGGGATGAAAAAAGATGTAAAAAGCTATTGTAGCGACTATCAAATCCAACCTTTTAGTCGCTTCTGGGTGCGGGGGAATCCAGGCATTTGACGCGCTCCAATTA